AATATGATGTACATTAAAAATAATTTATCTAGCTATCAAAACAATTTATCTAGTTCTAAGTAGCTATCTCATAATGTAGGAATACAAATGTTACTTTACAGTTTGTTTAAGATAAACTATGTGGACAAAAGCATGAAAATATCACTAGCTATAATCACATTTTTGATCCTCAAATTAATGAAAAAATTGTTTCTAATAAGATGCATAAGAAAATATGGTGATGTAGTTAGAAAAAGCATCAAAATATAATGAATTCAGAGTATGAAAGAAAGCCAATTCTTCTACCTAGTGGCTGTATTGTAGAAGTATTAACAATAAATTTGCTATTAATCTGATATACTGTAAAACACCTCTTCAAGTAGTAACTTAGCTGAGTTTATAATCCAGCTCATACTCCAACAGAAAGCATTTTAGGATTAGCAGCGTGGCTTAGAGGTAAAAGTTTATGTAATGCATGTATGAAATCTGGATTTGCTCGTCAGCACCACAAAAAAACCACCATCTTCCCAAAGTTATATAACCTAATAACAAATTTTATTTACTAGTACATTTATTTATCAGCATGAAATGTGTGTATATACTTATATAAATAAAAATATATACAAATACATATAACATCTACAAAACTGGATTCTAACAACTAAATGAAAGAACTAGAGAAACTATTTTGACCAAACTGAATTTTTGCAGGTTACTTAATATCATAATAGATTCATTAAAAAATTTAATTTACCAGATTCTTTTAAAAGAGATTTGTATATATCTTAAAATAAGAAAGTTAAAAATTGAAGATTAAAACACTTATGTAAATTTTTGATTTAAGGTCACAAAAAAGGCTGCTGTATACTAAATATTTCAACTATGTAAGATATTTCAAGGGTTAATCACTTATTTTTCTTAGCAATTTTGTTAATGATCATTAATTTTTATTGGTATATCACGAGAATCTGATTTTGCACTAGCCCTGTAGCACTGTCCTCCCGCTGTTCATCGATTTGTTCGAGGGGGCACCAGTAACGTCTCACAACACATCGTGAGACTTATTGTTACTGTTTTTGACATATTAAATATGTCACGGGGAGCTTGCCAGGCTTTGCCTCGTGGGTGGGATAATCTTGGTAGGCCGCCGGGCTCTCCAAGAGGGGCAGAGGAATCAAACCCGGGTTGGCCACGTGCAAGGCAAACGCCTTACCGCAGTGCTATCGCTCCAGCCCGGTAAACATACTACACATAAATTTTATTATGTCTAAGATGTATATCCAAAAATAAAAGCATCTTATTCTTCCCCAATGTTTTCATGCTGTGAATGGGCAAAATCTACCTAAATTTTTTCCTTTTTCTTTTCAGCTTTTGGGCCATATCTGGTGTTGCTCAAGGTTCATATCCTTGGCTCTGTGCTCAGGGTTTGGTCCTAGCGGGGCTATTTGACCATCCCTGAGTGAGCTGAGTTCCTTGCAAAAGCCCTACCCACTGCACTATATCTTGTGGGCTCATAGCTGAAATTAATATCAAATGAAAAATAGACACAATGTTGGTATTACTACAGGTGAAAATTACCATCCAGGACCAGAGAGGTTGTACAGGGCCGACCCTGGTTCTATCCCTAGCACTGACATGGTCCTCAGATCACAGACAAGAATGATCCCTGAGCACAGAGCCAGGAGTATGCACCGGGGACTACCATTAGTGGAAATATTTCCTTTGTGGCACAATATACTTCCAATAAACTTAAAATATCTCTACAAAGACAGGTCAAATGAGAGAAAAACAACATAAAAGCCAGGACTAGTGTTCAAAGAACTGAAGTAGGAACCTTGCTCATTAGAGAATTATCAGGCTTACGTTGCTGCTTGTGTTGCTATTGTAATTACCTGAGTTTTGATTAACAAGTTGTTTAAAAATGTGCTTATATACATTACCTTAATGGTTTTTAACAGCGAATGAAAAAAATCACAGGAAATCAAACAAATTCCTTGCACTTATCAAACTGAACTTGATTTCTAGGACTGTAAACAACTAAGAGGAGGATGAAAGAAATTTACTACATAGGTTTCAGGTAACTTAACTATCTTAACAGATGTGAAATTAAAAACAGAAATACCACCTCACAGTGAATTAAACTGACGAAGATCTCCAATACAATAAAGAGGGTAATTTAAATGAAATAAAAATTTCAGTAATAAATACAAGGCAACACAATAAATACAAATAGGTGTATATTTAAATAACATGCATCTATCATGTTCCACTGTCAAATGTACAATGAAGAGGACCTTTATGATTTTTTCTGAAAAGTTACTTTTACGTTTTATTTCTTTTGGTAAAAGGGGAAGTCCTTAGTGCTAAAGGATTAAAAAAATCCTTTAAAAATAACGTTACATACTGTTGCTTTTAAAAGTATTAGCATGTAAAATTAATTACTATGAATTGGTGGTTCTTTTTAAGTAACCATTCACTGTCCAATTAATATAACTCAGTCATTTAAAGTGTTACCTTAATTTCCCCATTATAGCAAGAATTATGCATCAAAATTATGCATCAATGACTTAAGGGGTAATATCTCTTATAACCTATCTAGAAGATCAAAGCATAGTCCTTACCAGTAAGGGGATAAAATGAACTATAAAATATACCCTAATAAAACTTACAATTATATTTACATTACCTAAAATTAGTGATAAAACTAGTATAGTTAGTAAGTATACCCACTTGATGGGAGATTTAATAGGTATCAGTGTGAAGACAAACAGAAATGTCTAGAAGGTGAGAAGTACAAAGGGGTTGGGGCTAGATGGTATGGCGGCATGAGAGAAGGTGGAGGAAGTGGAACAGACCCATTTTTCATAACTTCTTGTTTTCTTAACATCTTGTACATTTAAAGTAGTTCCTTCTTTACCATAATGGATTTCTGATCGGGAGTTTTTAAGTAATGTTACCTTTTCCTTTTATTTGTTTTTTCAATCACACCCAGCAGTGCTCAGGGTTTACTCTTGGCTCTGCACTGAGGGACGACTCCTGATGGGCAGTATGGGGTGGTGGTGTCAAACCTGAGTCAGCTGCCTACAAAGAAAGCACTCGACCCGCTGTACTACAGCTCTGACCCCAACCTCTTTTGCTCTTAGAGTAAGTATAAAGCGATTTTACAATGTTATAAATTTTACAAGGTATTATAATTTTAAAGCTGGGAGGAAATTAGGATATTGTTTCACTTAACGAACCCCTTGTTTGACAGATAAGAGAACTGAGGTTCAGAGAGGCTATATTTTTGTTCTACGTAAATATAAATACACTGGTATGACTAACTGGCTTGGTTGGAATACCATTATAAGTATTATTAAAAGCCAGAGACAAATACATATAAAAAATGCTTCAAAACCGAAGGAAAAATTATAGGAAATAAACTCTCCACTTAGAATGGCTAATCTTCTGATGTTAGTAATAAATAGTAAAATAAAGAATTTTAAAAATGGATTAAGGTACTGATAACAAAAAAAAGAAAACAAGTAATCATTATAAATATAAAAAATATACTTAACAAGCATGTCATATCTTGAGTAAAATGAGAAATTAAAGCCCTCTCAAGATTTTGTAGCACATCTGTTTTTTAACTGTCACTGTATGAACAGACTATATGGTAAGATAAGGAAAAGGGATACTTGCACTTGAATCATATCCTAAGCCTGTTTTTTACAGAAATAGCTAAGAAGTGTATTCCATTATTTTTGGAGGTAGATGATTCTAAATGCTTTCCTTAGTTGAGGTAAAAATGGAAAGCTCAGGATATAGAGTTTGATGATAAAAAATTATGCAGCTTTCAATTTCCACTGCTATGATACTATTTTGACACATTTAAAACTTGGAAACTCAAAAACAGGTGTGTTACTAAAAAATAATATGCTCATAATCATGATTTAGAGTCAAATCAAATATTTTCATTAAAGTTACCTTCATCATTACTTACCAAAATCTCTCTCTGGCAGAATGAATTTACATAGAAACAGTTTTTTTAAAAAACATGTTTGCAAGGATAAATATACCTTTTAAATATGGATTTCACTGTACATTAGGAAAAAATACTACATGTGGATTTCTATCTTAAAAGTGAATCAGCTGAATATTATTAGAAGCTAAGGCTTAGCAGAAATATATATGATTTACATATGTGAGGCCCTGGATTTCATCCCTGGGACTGGGGGGGTGGAAGGAAAAATATATATATATATGTGAGTACAGGGGCAATTGATTATGGCCAAATATAATACCTAAAGTTTGATAATTGCTATTCTCCAAATGCTGTTCTCTTTAACTCTTTAACAATGAGTCAGGAAAAATATTACTGATGAAAGAGGTGAAATTTCCAAACTAAATTACATTTAGTTCTCTTTATTAATTTTTGTCTTAGAGAAATTCTAGTAAAAAAAAAGCATAATATAAAATCTCTTTCTTTGTGTTTTTTTTTTATTTTGTTTTGTTTTGGGCCACACTGAGCAGTGCTCAGGGCTTACTTCTGGAGGTGCTTGAGGACTATTTGGAGATCCAGGGATCAAAACCAGGTCAGTGGCATGCAGAACAAGAGCCCTGCCTGCTGTACTTTCACTCTGGAGTAACAGTTCCTTATGTGGAAAGTATTTTATGAAGTGTTGCTGAAGAAACCTTAATTAAAATCATTATGAATGAGTATCCCCTATCTCAAAAACTTCTCAGTTCATGTACTGTTGAACACATACCAGCAGCATTCGGTCTAGTATATATGTACTACACGCTGGGCCTAATTATTCTTTATTATTATTATTCTGTATTATTACTGTATAATATATTACTGTAGTATTTATGTACTAAATACTGGGCCCAACTATTCTGGGTCTAAGACTATATTCTGAGTTCTACAATAGTAAAACTTCCCAACGCATCTTGTGCAAGCTCATCTAAATTTTTCTTTCTATGGAGGAAAATGCACAAGAGAACCTATCAACAAGTTAAACAAAAACTCAAATACTTACTGTCGCTGGAGAGGCCCGGGTCGTGTGTGTCACTGAGTGGCCAGAATTCTCCATCGAATTGCCAATTAGATAAGTTCCTCCAGAGCTGCTGATGAGTTGTCCTCCTGTGACGCCCATCTGAATCCCACCAGTCCCCACCATACTGTGGGAGGAGACCACTGTAGTCACCTGTGCAGAACTTCCTTGAGTATCAAAGTAATTCCCTCCAGTGTTTTGGCTGTACATCTGTGTTTCTGTGTAAGGATAGGTTGTTGTTCGGCTTCAGGAAAAAGAAAAAAAAGAAAAGAAAAGAAAGGAAAAAATTTACTAGCTTATTTATGTCATTTCATTTTCCCTATTGTGAATGTTTGTATCGGTTGTTCTTAGCCTTTGGAATGTGGAAAGTTTGCTTTTTTGTATGGGACTTCATCCCTAGTAGCTGGGTTTACCTTCAAAAGCAAAGATACACTCTCCTAGTAAAGACATCAACACTTTTCTGCAGTTTAGAGAGTTTTTACATCCTTTAAGCGTCTGCCTCTAACACAGAAGGTCTTTTCCTTCCAAGTAATCTGAGTGATTTCAACTCCTTGTAAAATTTTCTGCAAACACCAATTTTAGGAAAGTTGTATCTGGAATGACTAGGAATTCACAAGATAACTTCCCATGCTATACTGAAATTCCTAGGTGATTTGCAATAAGCCACCAAGAGGTCACTTGACTGGATCTTTTTATTAAGACCAGAAGTTCCTGAACAAAAAGCTCACTCACTTCAAACAATAAATTAAATTCTTTCTATAACTCTTTCTTCCTTTGCACCCAAGATTCTCCTTGATGAGGCGACTATGTCAACTTTTCATACCCTTGGTCCCACTTCTCAACAACTGCAGTCAAGTGTCTGGAACTAGTTTTTCATCAAAATTAATTTTTAATTAAGGTCACTTGTGATCAATTCTAATACCAAGATAAAAAGTTGCTGTCACTCTATATCTTTTCTGATCCACCTGCAGAAGTACCTGTTTGCTAAACTGTTGGCCCTTTTCTCTATTTTTCTGTTCAAATTAAGCTAATTTTATTGATTTTTCATTTTCATGTACCTATTACATTTCAACATAAGTTTTGTTTATACTTCTTTGAAATAATTATATTCTCTCAAGAGCAACTATAGTTAGGAATCTGAAAGTTTTACCTTAAAAAGTTCAAACAAATTCTCAGTTTTTTTGATCATTTTCTTCAGTCTCATGTCTCAGCAAGGATTTGTGTCTATGCTTTCAAACATTTTCTAAGTGTATAAATTCTTTGTTCTTTCTTCATTCTTATGGCAATTATTTTCCATTTTTTATTTTTGACTCTTAATGGACCTTCTGGATGGTCCATTTTGCTAACACCTTGAATGTTAGCAGTTTTCTGTGGTCGCCAGTCTTAGCCAGACAGTGAGCATGAACAATCAGTATTTAAAATACGAGTTTCTAATAGCCATCGAGTTGTTTCTTATAGTGTACTCTACACTATATAGGAGACCCTGCATGTAAAATTTAAATGTACTAATATATGAAAGTTATTTTTCTTGTTATTTGTCTTAGATTCTCCTTCTGTGCAGCCTTATCTCCAGAATGTCCTATCCCCAGGCTAGGAAATTATTGCTAACTCTTACTAAGTTCTGCTAATTTATCATCTAAATAATTCTCCAGTTCTCTTTTTAATCCTCACACTCACTGCCCTAACCCACGATATTTTCCATTGTATTACTTTTTCCCTTTCTCTCAATGTTTTTTTCTCCTCTATCTACTTCAATTTCACTACCAGGATTTTTTTCTAAGATGCAAATAAAAAAAATAAAATATTTATTATAAACCTTATCATGATTCTCTCTTTCCTTCAGAAGAATTTTAAAAACATTTCGTCTGCCTTTCAAGAATCAAGGTCCATGGCTATGTAATCTCCAGACCTGGCACTAGTTACATCTTCAAGTGCCTTTTTCCTGTCTGGTTAAGTGGCTCTGGGACACTACCCCGGTCTCATGTATCCAAGGCAAGTACTCCACCACTGACGAGCATATCCCCCACAAAACTTTCTTTACTCATTTCACACTGATCTTCTAACTGACCCTCAGGGAGTCACTGTCAACACCCATCTTTGCTGCTTACAGCTCATTCTACTCGAAGTTTTTTACATTTTTCTTCAACTTGCTTCCACTGTCCCCTCATGTCAGAATTATTTACTTACACATACTTTGCTCTTCATGACCATTCTTCAAAGGGATATTATTTTTTGCTATCTACATTTTCCTAATATCTACTATATTCCTAAAATAAAGCTCTAAACACTTGTTGTTAATTTCCTCATGTGTCTTTACACTCCAATGCTGGAGCGATAGCACAGCGGGTAGGGCGTTCGCCTTACATGCGGCCAACATGGCCGACCCGAGTTCGATTCCTCCGCCCCTCTCGGAGAGCCCGGCAAGCTACCGAGAGTATTCGATATGCCAGACACAGTAACAACAAAGTCTCCAATGGAGACGTTACTGGGCCCGCTCGAGCAAATCGACGATCAACGGGAGGGCCTTTACCTTTACCTTTATTCTTAACTGTACTTTCAAAATACACCCATACTTGCTGATACACACTTACTAGTCAATAAATAAAAATACAACTTATTATAAGTATACTTGAAATATCTAATTTCATGAACTTCTGTAATTTTTTGCTTTATGAAAAGACGAGAACAGCGCAGTCTCCTGCCCCCGTGCCTGGCTCTCCTCACTGGGGCCCCTTGGGGGGGAAGGGTTGAGTTTCTCTCCCCACCCCCTCACCCCCGCCCCGAGCAGAGCCCCACAGCAGCTGAGGACCTCTGGAGCCAGCCACGGCCATGCTGGGACTACTCTCCACATGTCCGAATGGGCCTCATGCATGAAGGAACCAGCAGAGGAACCCAGGCATGCGGGTCCCGGGGCTGAGGTCTCCAAGCCTACTCGGACTGGGACTGGGCCTTCTCCACCCAGAACCCCCCATCTTCCAGTAGGTAGGCGTCACACCCACCAGCTGCCGCCAGCGCCAGGTTGGTCCCATCAATGGTCAAGACGCAGAGACTATAAAACCCAGCTCCCAGAAGTGACATCTTATTATCTTTCCTTTGGAGAACCTGGCAGGCTACCAAAAGTATCCTGCCCGCACAGAGAGTCTGGCAAACTTCCCGTGTCGTACTCAATATGCCAAATACCAGTAACAATGATGGGTCTCATTCGCCTAATTCTGAAAGAGCATTGAAATGGCTCTTTTAAAATCTCAGGGCTAGGTAGAAGGAGACGTTACTGGTGCCTGCTCAAGGCAATCGACGAACAACAGGATGATCGTGATCGTGATTAAAAGACGAAAATTATGCTAACCTACACAGATATTTTTCTGCCACTTAAATAGATCACTTAAAACTCATTACAACTTACATTTCTAATATAACTTATAAGACAAATTTTAGTAGAATAAAAGGTTTCTCTGAAAGTTTCTACACCGGGTAAAGCGACTACTTTCCAGAAAGAGTCACTTCAAACAAAATTTGGGTTGATGATAGAAAGAAAATCCATGGAGAATTCTTTTTTTCACACGAGAAAATAATGTCATTTAAAATACAGATACAGGGACTGGAGAGATAACATCGTGGGTGAGGGTTTGCTTTGCATATGGCCAACCCAGATTCGATCCCTGACATCCCAGATGGTTGCCCGAGCCCTTTAAAAGTGACCCCTGAGCACAGAGTAAGAAGTAAGCCCTGAGCACAACCAGGTGTGGCCACCAAACCAATACACATAAAATAAAGATACAGTTCTCTTCATCTCGACATTTTAAATTAGAAATCTAATTAACAGTTTTCTCTTATTACATATAATTTCTCCTCTGTATCATTCCAATTTTAGTATATGTGCTGCCGAAGCGAGCATTTGGGCTGGAGCAATAGCACAGCGGTGGGGCGTTTGCCTTGCAAGCCACCAGCCCGGCTGAGCCAGGTTCGATTCCTCTGCCCCTCTGAGAGCTCGGCAAGCTACCGAGAGTATCTCCCCTGCACGGCAGAGCCTGGCAAGCTCCCCGTGACGTATTCGATATGCCAAACACAGTAACAACAAAGTCTCCAATGGAGACGTTACTGGGCCCGCTCGAGCAAAGCGATGAACAATGGGAGGACAGTGCTACATATAATTTATTTGAAGAAATAAAATAACCCTGTTATACATTTCAGCAAAGAGAGGTCATTTAAGTTTATGTTTATTTGACTTTCCACTTCCTATTAAATTGCTCAAAAGAATATAATTTAATCTTAGAATTGCATGCATTGGAAATTATTATTCACGGCGTTGTAAAGCACAGTATCTCAATCAAAATTTTTAAAACAAAAATTTTGACACAAGCAGGACGTGTTGCTGCCATTTTCTGTTGTGCAGCACAAGTCAAATATTTAAGCGTATCTCCAGTTCTAGGTTGGACTGAAAATGATAATGAAATTGCTAACGTGCACTGACATTCACTGGCTTTTTCCAATGCATCAAATACTAGTCTATGTGCTTTTCAAGTAACAACTTATTTCATTTTCATTACAATTTTATCAGACAGGTACTACTTTTCTTATTTCCTGGATAAGATGTATAACTAAAGTTTTGATAACTTAAATAGCAAACAGCTGGTAACAAATTGATCTGAATTCTGCACTCAGCTAATGCTTTCAATCATTTTGTCACATAAAATAACTAAATTTACATGTAATCTCCCCAAACTGAATGAGGACTAGGCAGAAAGCTGGAACAGGCCAATCACAAGCAAGGAAACTGAGACTAATTAGGAATCTCCCCAAGACTAAAAAGTTCTGGTCCAGTTAACTGGGGAATATCATCCTACCTTCAGAGAAGATATACTGTTGTTTATCCTTAAGCTCTCCAAAATATAGAAGAAATGGGAATCCATCCTAACACCTTTACAAAGATAACATTTACTGATACCCAAAACAGACAAAGCTATTTCTAAAAAGAAAATTTCAGACCCATCTCCTTAATGAAAATCATTAAAAAAAAATTCTGAACTAAACCTTAGCAAATAGTCCAAAGTGCATAAAAAACCCTATACATTATGATCAAGTGGGTTCATCTCAGGAATGCAAGGATGGGTCAAAACATTCATATCAATTAACATAATACACCAGATCAGTGAAAAATAAAAATCATATGATCATACCAATCAGAACAGAGAGAGCTCTGACAAAAATCTCACACTGATTCATGATTAAAACCCTCAACAAAAT